GATCTATTCTCTGTTTACGAATTCGCAAGAAGAATTCGTAAAAGTTTTTAAGAGTATCCGTACGAATTCGATACAGTTCGCATCAATTCGGTACGAATTCGCAAAATAAGGGTAAAACGTGAATTGTAGCATCATTTTTACGCTTAAAAATTGCGATTCGTCAATTCGTCTTTAGACACTTTGTCCACACATCTCCACCTTTTCCATGGCTTGTAGCAAAGAAATTCCAACTTAAAGCTATTTTATATTCATGAGCAATCTGAATTAAATTACGAAACATAAAACGTTGCTTAAATTGTGAGGTTGCGCCATCAGAAAAGGAATCAATTTGTTTTAAATTCGGTACATGTGTTTTAAGTTCATTTAAAATAATTTCAATAGTCGAGTTTATAACAAATTTATCGTGAGGCACGTCATTCGATGGAGGCGTAAATGAAAAACCTTGACTTTTAGACCATACATAAGGTGTAAGTATAGATAGAGTTTTTGTATTCCAATGAGCACTTTGAATTTCGTCTTGCTCTTTCAATCCAAAATTTTCAGCGAAATCAACTTGTATAACAACTTTTTCATCTGTTACTTCTGACTTTAACTGTTCAAAATATTTACTTTGTTCACGCTTAATATAGACTTGAAATAGAAAATATTTAACTTTGGATTTCAACAATTCAACAGCTTCATCAACTGATCCTTCAAATTCCTTTTTTTCTGCACGTTCGTTTATATTGACCCATTGCCACCATTTAATTCTAGTTGCTCCACTTACAACATTATCAATAACTTTCTCTTGAAAATTACTTTCACATAATGGACATGCAAGAAACAACAAATTTATCAATTGCTTTCAGTATTAGATTAGCATTTTCATGATAGATGCACATACACATTCTATGAGCTAGCGCTGCTTTTGGAACTATAAATCGAGGCCTTAAATCAGCAAACGATGAACGAGAAATAATTATTCCTTTATTCTCTAAATAATTCAAAACTTTCACGTAAATTATTCAAAAGTATTCTTTTCTGATATGTTATTTTAGTGTTATCATCATTTTTAACAACAATAGTATCACGTTTACCAGGTAATTGATAAGACACATTGTCTCTTAAATAAAACTTATGAACCGCATTTTTAATCTGATCAGACATATTGGCACATGTACGTTGTTGAACAGGTTTTGGAACAAGATTATATTTTTGAGCTATATGTTGAATAACATCTTTCTTTTTTTTATCGCATTTTGGTAAAGCAGATGTTACTTTTTTCATAGCTTTACCAAAAGATTGACGATTTTGAAATGATGATGGTTTATTATTAATTAAACGTTTACGTTTCTTTAAACGACATTTTCTTTGACGGTAATTAGTATTAGCGCGAAAATTTTCTAATGCTTTACCTGTTAATTTTCTAAGAATAGAATTATTGCGTTGACGAGCTTTTACCGTAACTTGTTCATGTTTGACTTTATCTTTTTTTATCCGCTCTCGATATGCATGCCTTCGTTCTTTCCACTGCTGTTTTAGCCATGCAACACGCTTAAACTTAATAAAATGAAAATACTTACTTATCGTTATAAATATTCGGTGAAATAATTAAAAGATTAATATCTTTTTTTTAATTACTTTACTTTATGTATGATGAAAGCAAAAATCTCTACGTAAATCGCTCTCTATTAGGGTTTCTGAAATACCGCGTTTTTAAAAAACCGCGGTTCTGCGGTTTTTAGAGCATTGAAACCGCGGTATTGCGGTTTTTTAAAAATTTCAATACATTTTTTAATATATTTCATTGAATTCATGTATAATTTATGTGTTCAACAAATCAATAAGATTTATAATACTTATTTCATTT